CTGCCTCTCCCCCTCTCATGCTCTCTACCACTCTCACTCTCAATAAATAAATAAAAATCTTTAAAAAACAACAACAACAAAGTGGCACCTTTTTCTAATCGGAAAAGCTAATTTATTGGTCAGATCTATGTTAATTAGATGATAATCGAACCTCATCTATTATTAATCCCAGCGCTGACTTTAAAAGGAGAAATGAAAATGAACCTCCAGTCTGGAGACAGTGCGGTAAAACGGCTCCTAAGCGGTTTCTGGATCCCGCTTAGGAAGTGGAAACCTTGGGCAGTAACCTCGTCTCTGTGCCTCAGTGCCCCTACCTGTCGACTATCATATTATTTCCCACCCTATGGAATCACATAAAGATTACATGAGTTAATTTAGGACATAGGTAAGGCTCTACAGTAAATGCTCACTAATGTCATCTGGTGTTATTACCAGAGCACCTGTGGGCTAAATACTGAGCTGTGTGTTTTTACTCTTTCTCACTCAGTCCTCGAGAGCCTAAGGTAAGTGTTATCTCCCTTTCACAGGTAAAGAGGCTCAGAGAGGTTATAAAACTTGCTGAGTATCAGTTCATAAGCTTTAGAAGTGTTCGGAAATTGAGTCTTTAACAGCCAAGTTCTTTCCCCTATTAAGGCCTCACTTGCCCATTCAACAAATAGTCACTGAGGCTCTATCATGTGCTCAGCGGGGATAAGACGAAGAAAACACAGGGGCACCCGGGTGGTTCAGTCGGTTGAGCATCTGACTCTTGGCTTTGGCTCAGGTCACGATCTCAGGGTCCTGAGATGGAGCCCCATGTCAGGCTCTGCGCTCAGTGGGGAATCTGCTTGGGAATCTCTCTCTCTCCCTCTGCCCCCTCTCCCCGCTCGCTTGTGCCTGCCCACGTGCACTTTCCCTCTCTTTAAAAATAAATAAACCTTAAAAAAAAAAAAAAAAAAGGAAAGCAGATACAATTCATGCCCTCAGAGATGGGGGAGGCAGTCATGTGCTGGGAAGACAGATTAAAAAAAAGAACAATACAGAATTAGGATGGAGGAAACACTGGCAACTAAGGGAACACCATGTACTGGATGGAACCAAGGGCAGAGAGCGCCTTCCTCAAGAAGGGATGTTTACACTAAAACTTAAAAGGCCAGCAGGAGTTAACCATGTGAGAACGTAGAAAAGAAGGTTCTAAGAAAAGCCTATGCAAAGGCACAAAATTGAGAATGCATGGAAGTAAAAGGCACTAAAACTCGTTTAGCACAGCAGGGGATGGGAGCATGAGAGCAAGGGGTTCAACTGTTACTATCGTGAGCCTGACAAGCCCTTGACAGGAGGCATCTGGGCAGTTGATTAAATACAAGTGTCTGAAACTCCAGACACTGATCTGGGCTGAAGATAAAGACGTGGGGTTGTCTACCATTATAAGGTAATCTTGGAAGAGGAGTCTATGAAGAAAGAGACAGAGAAACAGATGAAAACCAGAAAAGTGTTGCCACGGGAGCCAGGAAAGAAAATCGTGTGATTCCTGGAACGTGTGCCTGAGCACCAGGCTCCCCGGCCCAACCCAGGGCTCCATTCACACAGACCACCGTGGGAGAAGCCCTCAGGTACCTCCCAGCCTCTCCCTAAGCAGGCTGGGAATTCACTGGGGGCAGGAACTATGTGTGTCACCTTTTAGCCCCAAAGCTTAAGACTTTTTACAAAATACCCACATTCAAGGATTCAAGGAACATTTCCACTGGAAGATTACCAAGGTTACCAAGAAATCAAGCCATCTGCACATAAGCCCATACCAACCGCTGCTTCCATAGTTTTCAAAACAGAGTTTCCAATTCCTCCGATAAAAAAGATTCATTCGGGCGCCCGGATGGCTCAGTTGGTTAAGCGACTGCCTTTGGCTCGGGTCATGATCCTGGAGTCCCGGGATCGAGTCCCGCGTCAGGCTCCCTGCTCGGCAGGGAGCCTGCTTCTCCCTCTGACCCTCCCCCTTCTCATGTGCTCTCTCTCATTCTCTCTCTTTCAAATAAATAAATAAAATCTTTAAAAAAAAAAAAAAAAGATTCATTCAACAAGCTGCCCGGTTATTCTGCCAGGATTTCAACTCAGCCCCCAGCTTTCTGATCCATATGAATTTTTCATGTGAGTTCTAACTTGAAGGTTCCTTTATATCCTGTCCTGAAAGATGGCCCACAGAACCTTTACCTAGCCCACAATTTTATTCCTAAATGCTTAGTGAAATATGTTCCTAAGACTCCTGAAACCACTGGGATTTTTTTTTTTTTAATCTCACTCGGCTCATTCTGATATTTTTCTGGAGTGGTAGTGGTGGTAATTTGGAATTACCTACGGAGGGTCATTCTAGTATTTAATGCTTTGAAGGGCTCAGTCATCTGAATTTCATGGAAGGCCAACGTTTCTATCATACGGATTTCCAAAGTCACAATTTTCGAAAGCCCCAAGTACACTTACTGCTTCACTGCCTTTTAGTTCTGTGAATTTAATCAATTTGTCTGTGACCAAAGTCAGAAATTAACTTGCTAACTGCCAGACAGGACAGGAGAGAAAGGGGTAGGACACTTAGTGCCCACACTCAGAGGCTGGACACACACGTGCTTTCTGCGGGCTCACCAGCTCCCCCATGACTCCACCCTCTCAAAGCCGATGGGGCTATGGTTCTCACTGAGCAGTTCTTCCAAAAACACAGAATGCAGGCCCATCATGTCCTGCCTCCCACCTCTTTTTTTATCTTTTTTGTTTTTTTTTTTTTTAACAGCTTGCGTTAGCAACTTGGGCAGAAGAGAAAGCTCTTTAGCTCAGTCTCTGAATACCTCGGGACTTCTTTTTCCCAGCTCAGTTCAAGGCAACAAGTCCTTAAAAACGTCTACTTAAGGGCGCCTGGGTGGCTCAGTTGGTTAAGCAACTGCCTTCGGCTCAGGTCATGATCCTGGAGTCTCGGGATGAGTCCCGCATCGGACTCCCTGCTCAGTGGGGAGTCTGCTTCTCCCTCTGATCCTCCCCCTCTCATGCTCTCTGTCTCCCATTCTCTCTCTCAGATAAATAAATAAAAAATCTTAAAAAAAAAAAGTCTACTTAAAATAAAACCACCAAAAAAACCTCCCACCAAACGGAAATACTACCCAGTGCTACAGAGAGTAGGGCACGGATTCATTCCCACTAGCATTTATTTGATCCTTTGTAATTCAAATGACCATGCCAGAAGCTAAAAACATTTTATCTGCTGTTCTTAATCACATTAACTGAGAAATGTTTTATCATCCTTACTTTAAAAAAAAAAAAAAAGAAATGTGACTTTCTCTCCTGCCTATGCAACTAACATGAAACTAACCATAAAGTTGGACAAAAAACCAGGGAACAGTTTTCAGGTGCTGGACAAGAGGCAGGGGCTAGACCACAGCCTTCAGGAGAAGGGGAGATTATAATGACCACCATGGCTCTCGGTCTGTGCACGCATGTCCTGACCGGAGCTCAGCAGGCTGGCACCCAAGGAGAGCAGAATGGTCCTGCTGAAGTGAGGAGCAAACACAAGTTCTGAGCAGTTCAGGTGGCCAGAATCTGCAAAACAGAGCCCCAGAGAATATAGCGGATGGTCTTCTCTGAGACCTTGACTGAGGACTGGACTGCACGTATAAGTAAGATGAGGTAAGACCACCTGAAGCTTACCAGACAGTGACGGCTTTGGGATTGAGAGATCTCAAGAGGTATCAGAGGTCCAGCAATGTTGGAGGATGGTGGGGTTCCAGCCTGGACACAATGCCAACACTTTTCCTACCACCTCTTTAACATCCCAGACATCCAGCTGAGGAAGGACCGTGCCCTAGAGGAAAGCCTATTCCAAACCTCTAAAACAAGCCAGGCCTAAAATCAACCTGTGATGATATCCATGGGAGCTGGAGTTTGGAGGTTGAATCTGGCCAAATTAGAGAGACCTGGGGAACACCTTAGCCTTCCCACGGATCCTCCATGCCACAGCATAAAACCAAGCCTACGCATGTTCGAGGAGATCAGCTAGGAACTGAACTGCCTATCACAATCAAAATATCAGTACTCTTCAGAGGGAGGTCAGAATCTAGAGTCCCTATACTTCACAATACAGTATTCGCCACATTATCAAAAACTACTAGACAACGCAAGAAGCAGGATAATGTGACCCACAGTCAGTAGAAATTAACCCTCATCTAGCCCAAATGTTGTAAACGCAGTCATTATAAAATGTCCAAGAATAACAACAACAAGATGGTATTGATACACGATGATAATCTCTGTGAAGAAGGGAAATCTGAAAGAAGAACCAAACGGAAACTCCAAAACTGAAAGTATAAGAACTGGGAAAAATATAAAAAGTAAACTGAAATTTTAAAACCTCTCAGCCAACTGGAGAGGACACAGAAACAGTGAGCAAACCTGAAGACAGATAATAGAAATCATCCGATCCAGAGAAAGAGAAGACTGAAGAAAAGTGAACAGAGCCCAAGGACCCATGGGACACCGGGAAATCGTGGAACGTGGAGAAGAGAGGAACTGCTCAAGGTCACGCCAAGTGCTCTCAGTCCACAGTAACACACCCTCTATTACGTGAAAGTAATGAATCTACAATGTAAGTCTGAGTGCATCCTGAAAGTTTATGCCTCAAAATGGAAAAAAGCTGAACCACCAAAACCAAAGCAACATCCCTCAACGTCACTTGAAGTTCACGGTCACTAGTGTGAAGAAGTTGGACAACACTGCACACAACAAATTTCAGTTCTGAAATACAATAAATCACATTAATAGAACGATTTTTGACTCACTAGTAAGACTGACAGAGAAGCGATTGGAAAGTACGCGTGATTATTTACCTCATAACAAAAAAAATGTATTAAGCTCATACCTCAAAATTTTCACTAACTTCTTGCATCATTTTTAACTTCGTTTCATCAGCTGTAAATGACAAGACAAGTCATCAGGTAATTGAAATTATGTTAAGGATCTTCATAAAATTATTGAATTTAGTAAGAGAAGCAATCAGATCTTATCAGTTTGACTGTCATGGTCCAACAGAAGGCACATAACTAGTTCCCTATAACAAGTCACACACACTCACACTCCCAGACGAGGATACACACACACACACACACACACACACACGTGCCTCTTTGGGGCTCCAGCTAGTAATGCTCATCACTTTGCTTCTCCACAAGGCAGAGAATGGGAAAATTAGGGTAAGAGTTAATATTGCTGTTCATCTCAATGTGCACGTCATTTGAACTGAGATGAATGAGTCACGATAATGCATTTCTTAACAACAAGAAGGATCAACTCACGTGTATTTACATCCGTGAGAGCTGCCACAAACTGAAGGTATTTTTTCATCAGAGTGGTTTGGTCAACCACCGTGGCCCCCTGTGTTGCAACAAATGCCATTTTTTTGTTGTTGTTGAGTTCGTTTGTTTCTCAAGAGAAAAGTATCAGGTCCATGAGTTCACCCAGCCTACGAAAAGAAGCGTATGGTGAGCCAACTTATTGAAGGCACAGGCTCACTGTCTCTCTGATAATCTTACCTAAATGATGTATTAAGCTAAATACTTTTTAATTAACCCACAATACTATTCCCTCTGCTTTTTTGAAAGTAAAATTTACTTGCATCCATTTTTCCTATTAATTTCTAAACATCATTTTTATAAACAGACTCCCCACCCCCCCTTACTGTATATCCTTTTTTCCCTAGGCCAGGGGTGGGCAAATTCTCTATATAAGCCAGACAGTAAATATTTCAGCCTTTGTGGTCTCTATCACAACCACTCAGCTCTGTTACAGCCAGAAAACAGCCACGGATCACACATAAATGAAAGAACATGGCTGTGATCCATAGAACTGTATTTATGGACACTGAAATTTGAATTTCATGTAATTCTCAAATGTCACGAAACATTACTCTTCTTTCAACTTTTTCTCAACCACTTAAAAACGTAAAAATTCTTTGTTCATGGGCTGTATAAAAACAGGCAGCTGAGGGGCACCCAGCAGGCTCAATCCACAGATGCGACTCTTGGTCTCGGGGTTCTAAGTTCCAGGGCCACGTTGGGTGTAGAGATTACTTAAAAATCTTAAAACAACAAAAAACAGGCAGCTGACTGGATTGGGCAACCTCTACCCTAGGTGACTGGTTCTCAAACTTCAGTATGCACGAAGATCACCAGGTGCCAAAGGTGGGCCTCCAAGCACTACCCGGAGACTGCGGTTCAGTGAGGGGCGCAGGAAGCCCTAAGTTTTGCTTGCAGCTAGCCCAAAGTAGGCACTTAGAAAACCTGCTTGAATGAATGAATGAATAAATGCTTCAGGTTGTTGATGACCACGCGAGGAATGATCTCTCCAGGCTGACACCTACACAGAGGGAGACCCGGTTTGTTTTAAGAGCACTCCCAAAAGTTTCTTGGGAACCTGATGAATTTGCTTTTACCCATCTTCCTTGTATATAGAACCGCTTAATTCCACTCTGCATCAAGAGGCAGCTTCATGACTTAATTTTCTCCTTCTCTCTGCAGGCCTTTCAAAAGCCCTCCCTACCGGAAGCCCTTCCTAGCAGCTCACACTGCTTGCTGCCCCAAGCGATGGGGACCCCCGACTCCACAAAGCCTCTTCTTCGGGCCACTCTCTTCGAGACACCAAAGCACTTCTCCGATGCAGAGAAGCCGCCGACTGCTGCTCTGTCGCACTCCTCCGGCTCAGAGCGGGAAAACTCCCTGAGACTGAAGAGGGGGACTCTGTCGGCCCCGCTGGATGACCTGACTACTGCTTCCTCTTTCAGGTCACACGCCCTCCTCCAAACACCGATGCCCCCCATCCCCATCCCTGGGGACCCAAGAATCAGGGTCATGGCCTCTCCGTGCCTACGAAACTTGTGGTCGTGCCCAAACTCCTTAAAAGCTTGAACCCCCTCTTTCACCGAAGTCGTCCACTCTTCCAGTCCCCGGGGCCCCAAGAGGCCAGGCCCCGCGTCCTGCCGGGCCGGGGGGGGGGGGCGGCTGAGGAGGGAAAACGGCCCATCGCGCCTGTCCGTGCGACAGTGACTCGAAGACACCGGGGGCCGAGGGCCTGGGCCTGGCCTCCGCCGGGCCCCCGCGTCCCCGCCCAGGTGGGAAGACCGGAGCCGGCGCCGCGCCCGCGCACCGACAAACGGCCCCGCCGCCCCGCCCCGCCGCGCCGGGCCAGAGGGGGCGCTGTCTTCGCCGCTACCTTCGCTCTCCGCGCCGGGCCGGGCGAGCCAGGGGCCTGCGCGGAGGCCGGGAGGTGCCAGGCTGGCCCGGGGGCGCTTCTGGGGGAACCGGGCCCCAACCCCACACTCTCTCTCCGCGGTCTCAAACGGCTCTCCGCTTCCCTCCTTTTGTCGCCGTCTCCGGACACCCAGCGTCCGCCCTCCAGGCCGTGGTACGGCGAGCGCCGAGGGCCAATTCTCGCGCCGCTAGCCCTCCGCCTCCCAGAGCTCCCCAGCGCGGCCAAGCAGCCGGAGGCTACAGGGCGGCCGCCGGCTCCAGCCTGCCGGGCTGGACACGCATGGGGGCCGGGAGGGGAGGGCCTGGGGACCGGGCACACAGAGCCTACCTCTGTCGCTGAGCGGAGCCGCCGCGCCGCAGAGGCCTCCCCACGCCGGGGCCCCGCCGCAGCGGTCCGGGCCTCCGCGCGCACCTCCCGGGGCCGTTCCGCCGCCCTCCCGCGCCTGCCCGCGCTTACCCTGATCTCGGCGGCCGGCCTCCCGCAGACCCAGCCCGCGGCCCCCAGCGCAGCTCTCGCAGGCACCGCCGCCGCCGTGCAGTCCCGCCCCCGCTTAAAGCGGCCGCGCCCGCCGCGGGAGAAATAGGTCCGGGCGCACCGCCCCCAAGTGGGTGCGGCCTGGGCGGGCGGCGGGAGCGGGGAGGGGCGTTGCGCCCGGCGGAGTCCGCCTGGCCTTTAAACCTCCGCCTGGTGGGCGGGGCCGCCCTCAAGGTTGGTGAGGCCCGCAGGTGCCGGGAGTCTTTGGGCCCCTTCTGCCCTAAATATGCGCGCGGGAGGCAGGCCCGGGAAGGGGAGGGGAGGGACAGCGGGGGCTGCTGCAGGGGGGTGGGCACCCGAGGGGCTCCCTTAGCAGGCGGCGGTCGGGCCAGGGAAGAGTCCATCCCTGAACTGAATGTGGCAGGCCGGGCGGGGTTTCCTCCCTCCTCCCTTCCTGGGGTCATTCTTAACCATTCAAAGGGGAGGAGGTAAGCAGGGGCCTTGGGAAGGCGAAGGCGGAGACAGACAATGAGACCCTGTAAGCAAAGGAAAGCCCCGGTGTTCTGCTTGGAGGTGGTGGGCCTGATCATTTGCCCCGCAGCTACATCACCCAGAGGCTGGACCACAGACGATCTGTGTCAGCTCCTACCTGGTGGGGCAGTGATGAGAAGGAGGGGGAGTGGGGCAGAAAGCCCTGATGCCCAAGTGAGATGGTGTGGGCAGGATCAAGACGACTTAGAAGGGAAAAGTACTGTTGGACCTCACCTACGACTCCATCTAGAAGAGTGGTTGAAGAGTGAGCGGCTCCTGGTTACCATGTTAGATGGACAGAACAATAAAGTGATGACCTCTCTCCCCCACCTCCAGGACCTGGCTCCACCTCCTCCCCTTTCATGACAATATCTCACCCCCCTCCCCCATCATCACTAAGTTACCAAAGTCTTTGTGTTCCCTTCCCAGACAGATACATTTCACACTTTGTAATAAATGCAGCTTGCAATACCTGCAACGTATCTCGGAAGAAAGGGGCCTTATTCAGAAGCATGCTTCTTGTTTAAAAATGTTGCCACTCAAGAACAACCCTCTGTTGAACTGCTGGGAATTTATATGAATGTATTTAGTGTCACTTATTTCTGCCCTGGGAGAAATAAAATGGGTCAGAATACCTTTTCCCCCATGGAAAAATTTCTTGCAAGCAAAATCCTCTCTACTCCTAACCGCCCCCCCCCCCAAACTAATAGGTCCAAAGTTGGGGAAGGTTTAATAAATCTGAGGGCTGAAATCAGTGTGAAGACAGTTATTGTTTCATATTGTTTGGTGGGAAGGGGGTGGAAAAGAAAGCAGGAGATAGATAAATCCTTTGATAAGTTTCAAATTAATTGCACAGCCTAAAGTCTTATAGTTAAGTCTAGCTCTAATATTGGCTAATTCCCTGCACTTCTCATGGCCCTAGCTTCTCCTAACAAAGTACCCAACACACTATTACGATTTTTGCCTGTTTTCTTGTCCACCTCCTGAACTAGAGGTCAGAGACAGTGTCAACTCCATCCCTATCAGGTAAATTAGATCACGCCCCTCCTCTGCTTAAAACCCTCGGAAGACTTCAGCTCAGCCTCATTTCCTGGCCCTATGTACCTCCCAACCTCACTCTTCATGTTCTAGCTGGAGTGGCCTTGCTGTGCCTCATGCCCACCTAGGACCTCTGGAATGTTCTTTCCTCAGAGGCACACAACTGACTCCTTGTCACCTTGATGATCTCAAATGTCACCTCCTCAGAGACAACTTTCTTAAAGCCCAATGTAAGAAAACCACTGTTCCTTCCACCACCACCCCCATTCACTATCTCATAATACTGTAATACTGTAATAATTTCACCAGGGGAAATATTCAAAACACTGTATTTTCCCCCCAATAACCTCATAATCTGAACATCAGGTTCAGGGTGGCCTTTGCAGTGGCTTCTGTGACATAGATAAGACTATCTGTGACTACTATAAAATTATTATTCAATGCAATCAAGTAACACATAAAAAACCAATATCTTATTATTTTGTTTTCTGAATTTAGCTCAATTTTTAAAAAAATTTTTTAAAGATTTTATTTATTTGAGGGGTGCCTGAGTGGCTCAGTCGTTAAGTGTCTGCCTTCGGCTCAGGTCATGATCCCAGGGTCCTGGGATGGAGCCCTGCATCGGGCTCCGTGCTCTGCGGGAAGCCTGCTTCTCCCTTTCACACACACCCCCCCCCCTTGTGTTCCCTCTCTCGCTGTGTCTCTCTCTGTCAAATAAATAAAATCTTAAAGAAAAAAAAAAGATTTTATTTATTTGAGAGAGAGAAAGCGTGCACGCATAAGCTGGGGGGAGGGGCAGAGGGAGAAGCAGACACCCCACTGAGCAGGGAGCCCAGCGCAGGTCTCTGAGATCATGACCTGAGCCGAAGGCAGATGCT